CATATTATTATAAATTTATCTAATTTTTTTGGTCGCAAATGTGAGAATGCTATTAAAATAAAACTAAAATGAAAAAACCTTCTCGCCGCTATCGGGAAATTCAAGCCCAAATCCCCCCCCACCCCTTACTACACTCTGTCCGAAGCCCTTAACTTCCTTCTTAAAAACAACCACGAAAAATCCCGGGACTTGCGCATTAGCCTAAAGTTAAATTGGACTAACCAAAAGTCAATTTTAGCCAGTAAAATAACCCTTCCTTATCCCGTTATTAAACCAAGAAAAATTGCGGTTGTCAAAGACGACTTGCCTGAGGATATTCTGGCTAATTTACCCGCTGACCCTAATCTCGATTTACTAACCACTAACGAATTAGAAAAAAGCATTATGGGACGCAAGAAATCCCAATGAGGGTTTACTAAATTACTCGCTCATCCGGACAGCGAAAAAAAAATTAAACCGCTCGAAAAAATTCTCGCTCCTAAAAACTTGTATCCTAATCAAAAAAACGGCAATTTAACCGAAAACATTCTGTCGGAAATTGCCCAGTTTCAAGCCGGCGAAAAACTAATCAAAGCTGACAAAGCCGGCAACCTCCAGCTGGTAATGGGACAAAGTGATTTTACTCTCGCACAACTCACAGACAACTATAATGCTGTATATAGTAAAATAACCGCACTACGACCCGGGAACTGAAAAGGAAAATTTATTAACCGCATCACTCTCTCAACCACCATGGGGCCCGGGATTAGAATTATAGTTTAAAATATAACTAGCAAATATTTTAACCCGAATATTACGAAAAATATTATTAAAACGAAATTAACCAACATTAAACATTTTCAATTCAACATTCAAACATTATATTTTTATGCCAAACTCCCAAAAAGTAGAAACTTTTTTAAACCAGCATTTAGCCACCTATCATCCCGAACAAGCAAGAAGCAGTATTAAAAAGTTGAATTTTTACGGCGGAGGCATTTGCGAAATCCTACAAAAGGAGAAATTAGATTTAAGCGATTTTACTAGTTTGGAAGAATTAAAATGTGGTGGTAATTCCC